ATTTCCCCTGTTAACTATAGTTCAAATAGGCGAGCGGCAACCGTTCAAATTGTCGAACAAATTGTCGAACGGCGTTCGAATTGTCGAACGGCGTTCAAATAGTCGAATGAGTTGAAGTCTGAAGAAGGTAAAACTTCAGCTGAATTAAAATGGCCGCCGCCACGTGTTCGTTTTTTCGAATGGCGGCAACTTTGACTATTTCGGCTGAATCCGAAGTGCCAATTTAAAGTTGCAAACTTGCTCCAATACAATTTAAAGGGGCAGAAAAAATACAATAAAATCCAATATGCCCAAACAACGTTTTAGAGGGCCAAATCTTCCAGGGGCCATAGTCACAAGGCAGGAGGCTGGCAATTAGTACTTTCTAGGCACAAGTGGCGAAGGGCACTACATCACAGATATATTCTGGAGATACTCTACAGGTAGCCTGAGGTACACAGAAGGTGGAAAAAAGAGAAACAAAAAGTAAGATTTGTTTGATTTAAACTCCTCATCTCATTAAAATGGCAGACTTAGTTCAGTGTAATAGTTATTGTGCATTTGTTTCACGTTCCAGTTTTTGGAGGTTTGGCTGTTGTCTAATCTGTAGGCAGTTCTCTAAATTGCGGGAGATTGCATTTTTGAAGTCAGAGATTTGTAAATTATCCTGTAAACAATCTCAGACTGAGACTGTTGCAAATCCACTGCCGGAGAGAGGTCCTAGGAATGGCAGATGAATTACTGTAGGATCTGATAGAATTAGAGATGTGGACAAAAGGCATACTGCACAGTCTGTGTATTTACATAATTCATTTTCTGCACTTTCAGATTGTAATGGTGTTACGGAGAAAGGCTCAGACACCGGGTTTGTGCAACCACCATCCTCTATATCTAAGGTGAGCAAGAGTGCACCCAAGGACAAAAAGGACAAGGTGAGGCCTGATAGAAAGCAGTTGTTGTTGTGGGATTCTATCTTAAGAGGTGTGGAGTTAAACAATAGTGAGATGTCTTCCTGGAGCTACTGCTCACAGAGACAGAAGCCGTATTTGTAATATAATAAATAAAAGCAGGAAGTGGAATTAGATGTACTTGTCCATCTTGGGAGAAATAATTTGGCTTGTAATGATATTTCTGAGGCAAAGGAAGTGTTTTGTGTTCTTGCCAATGATATACGGCAGGTTGCTTCCACACTGTCATTCTCTGAAGTTCTGCCTGTGCATAACAATCAGAATGACAGGCGGATGCATATTAGGAACTTTAATTTGTGGCTTGGTGAATGGTGTCGGGAGCAAGGATTTGGCTTTGTTTCTCATGGCAAATGTTCTCAGCGAGCAGTTCAGAGGTTTTGCTAGGAAGTATTTAAACTAGGAGGGGGGGACAAAAAGGTGATAAAACATCAATCCAACTGCCCCCCAAAACAAGGACAGAATGTAACTGTAACAAGTGTGTTAAAAAAAGATAAGCTTCGAGTCATGTCTACAAAAGCTTGCAGTTTAGGTAAAAAGATCCATGAACTTGTGGCAATAATGACAACTGAGAATGTAGATTTAGTGGCTGTAACTGAGACATGGTATAATGAGAAAAATGACTGGGACATAGCAATACCAGGGTACTCTTTATATAGAAAATACAAAGAAGGCAAGAATGGGGAGGGGTGGTCCTATATGTGAAGGATAGCATAAAATCTAACCTAATAAAAGTTAGTGAGGCGAACATAGAGTCCGTTTGGGTTACGTTAGAATTTGGAGATCACCCAGTAACTCATGTTCCAGGCCCCCTGGACAAATAGAAGAGTTACATAATCTACTAGTTGAGGAAATAGCTAAAATGACAATGAAGGGGGAAGTTATCATCATGGGTGACTTTAATCTTCCTCATGGGAGCTGCAAATCCAAAATAGCTGCTTGTGCCAGGTGCACACATATTCTAAACTCACTACTGGGATAATCTCTAAAACAACTTGCTGAGGAACCAACTCGTAAGGAGGGCATACTAGATTTAGTGTTAACAAATGGAGATTTGGTATCAGATATTACTGTGAAAGTTTAGAATCCAGTGATCATCAGTCAGTGTGGTTTAATATAAGAACGGTGACTGAGTCACACCACACAAAAACAAAAGTTTTAGACTTTAGAAAAACAGACTTGCGTAGAATATGCGTAAAGGAGTCCTTGTCAGACCGGAGCAGTTGAAATGGAGTCCAGGAGAAATGGGATTATTTAAAAGTTGCACTGCTGAAGGCAACAGAAAATTGTATCAATAATATTAGGAAATATTACTTTATTACTCTAGTGGATGCATGGAATAGCCTTCCAGCTGAAGTGGTAGAGGTTAACACAGTGAATGTGTTTAAGCATGCGTGGGATAGGCATAAGGCTATCCAAGACTTAAGATAAGGCCAAGGACTAATTAAAAGAATAAAAAAAAATATTGGGCAGACTAGATGGGCCGAATGGTTCTTATCTGCCTTCACATTCTATGTTTCTATGTTTCTAACCCTAACCCTACCCTTACCCTAACCCTACTCTTAACCCTAACCCTACTCCTAACCCTAACACTTTCACGTATTCATCCACATATAAAAATGTGATTAATGACATTTACTGTTCTGACAGGAAAATTTGTGCCAAGCAACATTACTGTCCTGACAGGAAAAGTTGTGCCGAGCAGCAATCAAATCCACAGGAAGGTTTGTGCTGAGCAGCAATTATGCAAATGGAAACCTGGTAACTGCCTTTGGGGTCAAAGGTTGATTACAGCCTATCAGATCCAGAGGAGGGGTATTTAGGCCCAGTTCTTATCCTGCATAGTGCACTGTCGTGATTTCCCTAGTGGTTGTCCGAGAGTGCGTTTCTGATTCAAGTTTCTTATGTTTTTTTACTTTGGCTTTGATTTTGACTTCCCTGTATTCTGGTATCCATGACTTCTGGCTTTCCCTTATCATTGTGTCTCTTTCTGTATCCCCTGACCTTGGTAAGTATCCTGACTACTCTTTACGTTAAGTCCGGCCATTCTAAGGCCCGGTAATACGTTACCTACTAGTCACCTGTGTGACACAATTCTACGTGCTGGATCAACTAGTAATCCTGACAAACACTACTCCTAACCCAACCCTAACCCTAACCCTACCCTAACCCTACTCTTAACCCTAAACCTACTCCTAACTCTAAACCTACTCTAACCATAACCCTACTCCTAACCCAACCCTAACCCTACTCCTAACCCAACCCCTAACCCTACCTCTAACCCTACACTTACCCTAAGTCCCGAAGTCCCTCATTTCAGAAGTGCCGAACCGAACTGAATTGCCGAAGTGCCAAATTTCGAAATGCTGAACCGAACCTAATTTTTTGCCCACGCACATCCCTAATAATGAGTTAATTCGTGGTTTTTACAGTAAGCATGTTTTCCTGATTTTATAGAGTTAAAAACACCAAATCCCCCCCCCCACACTTACTCTCCTAAATATAATAATAGCTTACCTTTATTCCAGTCTGCTGCTGCTAGTTCTGCCCCTGATATGCCTGCTTGGCTTATATCAGAAGTGGTGATCTGAGCCAATCACAATGCTTTCCCATATGAAAGCATTAGATTGGCTGAGCTTGTCAAGGAGGCAGATCAGGGCAAAGCCAGTACAAGCCAAACACAGTCATAGCCAATCAGCATCTCCTCATAGAGATGCTTTGAATCAATGCATCTCTATGAGGAACTTCTGTTTCTCCATGTAGAGGGAGGAGACACTAAATGGCTGTGCTGCACACTGTGCTGCACTGACCCAGGAAGCACCTCTAGCAGCCATCTGTAGTGGCCAGTGGAGGTATCCCTAGGCTGTAATGTAAACACTGCCTTTTCTCTGAAAAACTGTATTTACTGCAAAAAGCCTGAAGGGAATGATTATACTCACCAGAACAAATAGAATAAGCTGTAGTTGTTCTGGAACCTATATTGTCCCTTTAACTAGAGAATGCTGTAGGCATTACATCGCCACTTTAATGACCAGAGTTAAGATAACATGCTTGGTCATCTCACAAATAATACTTTCACACTTTCTTTCTCCCACTCTCCCCTCCTGTATGTGATGATGGAAAGGCCTAAGTGGAAATGGGGATCTTATGGGTGAGTTCGTACACTAAGTTTAAGCTGAGAAATTGTTCTTCTAGTCTTTTATAGCATGTTGGTATTTATGTTTGAATGTATAGATACCAAGAGTTATTATTAATTAATATTTTGTTCTATTTCACATACAGCACTGGTATGGCATAGCTTCTGTTACGGTACACCCAGGTATAAAAGGGGTTAATACCGCTGAGGACATTCACCTTCTGAAGGGAAAGACAAAAGCTCCAATCAGCTGAACAGGAACCATACAAAATCCTTCACGTATCAAACAGCCGAACGAGTAAACCATACTAATCCAATACCCCCAAGTACGAGACCAAGCTCCGTATTGAGGGTTAAGCAGAGATCTGATTTAATGTGGGCTACTTGCCCGGTATTTATGCAGGCTTTCCACCAGGTGGACACTCCCCTATGGGACCTGGTGTAAAACTGGGACAATAAGAATACAGTAGCCAATCACAGTGGCTTGGCATAAACACTCCCCTTTAGCTGAAATGACCCTCCTCCCTATCCTGGAGATAATTGGGGAAGTAATCCAATTATCATTGAGGATAGAAGCAAATCACCATTTTACATGTAACAGTAAAAACACAAAAATATATAATAGGAAAAATACTGAATGCACTAGGTACAATTAACATATCCCCAGATAGCTTAGATCTGAGCGCACATTATTACCGAATGGTGCTCAGATCACATACATTCAGTTAAATCGCCATGGAGCCAAAGTCTTTCACAGAGTCTTTCGGTATACGAATGGACTCCATGGCATAGCTATCTTGATTAAGTCCATTCATGCAGAAAAAGTACCGAACGGGCCGGCATCCGTATGCTGGATGATGGGGAAGGGAGGTCGGCGGCTTCAGCGGTGTTCGTGAGAAATAGTGTCCGTTTTTAATTCCAGGGAATCGTCGACGAATACTGCTGGGCATTCGTGCGTCCAAGATGGCCGCTGCCTCGTGGTCGGCATACAAACGACGACCACCCAGCCTACCTTTGACAATTAAGAGGTGTCTGCGGTTAACCACAACGTTCGAATGGGGCCAAGAGGTTAACCAGCAGCACACTTCCATGCTGGGTGGCCGGCCATTCGGCAGTTTATTCGGGAGTTAAGGAATTAAACGAACGGGGGGTACAGACAGGCAATTAACCGAACAAACAGACAAAACCAAAGGGGGAGTAGAAGTAGTTCACAGACAGATGGTTCTGTCACAGCTTCCAACATATCAAATGGACAAAGAGGGACAGATTAAGTGGTTTTATTCTATATTTATATCCTATATTTATAAAATACAAATATATGTATATATATATATAAATATAAAAAACAATAAAACAATAAGTATAGCTGCACTCACAGTTGGAGATAAAATCTTCAATGCTTTATTTAATTCATTAAAATAGGATCAACGTTTCACTCCAGCTTGTGGACTTTCGTCAGGATCAAGACAAATAAATAGAGCATTGAAGATTTTATCTCCAACCGTGAGTGCAGCTATACTTATATTTTTTTTATATTTTTTTTGAGGACGGGGGGAGTGTGACAGTGTTGCTTTAATGGTCAGTTTTATTTCTGTGGAGGTCTTTAATACACTCAGACCCAGCAATATGAAGCTTATTGAAAAGAGACATTAGGATAGAAAAAGAGAGAAAGAGGGATTTGAGCCTAAAATATTGACAGTCTTTGATAAGTAGGGACATTTGGGAGGCACCTCATATGATGTGTTCTGTAGTTCTTCTTGCCATCATGTAGGAGATAAAAGCTGATTAATAGTAAGAGGACAGCTACTAAATGTTGATTTCACAGATATAGTGAGCATACCAACAAGTTACCAATAGATGAAAAAAAGGAGCTGTAGAAATATATTATTTAATAAATATATATTTTATTAATACAGATTTATTTATTTTTACTGCTAATACACTTTTCATGCGTGGGGTTTTCACAGCACCTTGTTACACTCCTGGAAATATATGAATAGCCCTATTTTTAAAGGATGCCAATCCAGCACTAGAATAAACAAGCATGTTGAATTTCTGCGTGTGTATTGCTTAAGTGGTACTGTAAGGGCCACATTTACACTTGCAGTGATTCAGCTTGTCTCTCAACCAGCATTTCTAAATAATAGAAATTTGCTCTGAAAGCAAAGAAGAGTGTTATAGAAAAATAAGCCCGGAGCTATGTTTTGTTTGTAGTCTAACAGAGACAAAACAACTCTAAACAAACACAACACAGAATGTACTTGCAGAAGGAGGACAGGAGGTAAAATCAGAAATGTTAGTTTAATTTTCCAAGAAAGGAAAAGAAATACAGACTAAAAAAAAAAATACTGTTATCTGTTATGGACATCCATAGCTGTATTAACCATAAAATGCACTTAAAGGACCACTATAGGCACCCAGACCAGTTCAGCTTAATGAAGTGGTCTGGGTGCCTGGTCCAGCTAGGGTTAACCCTTTTTTTATAAATATAGCAGTTTCAGAGAAACTGCTATGTTTATAAATAGGTTAATCCAGCCTCCAGTGGCTGTCTCATTGACAGCCGCTAGAGGCGTTTGCGTGCTTCTCACTGTGAAAATCACAGTGAGAAAACGCAAGCGTCCATAGGAAAGCATTATGAATGCTTTCCTATGTGACTGGCTGAATGCGCTCACAACTCCTGCAACGCATGCGCTGGTGGCGGCACCCTCAGGGCACTATAGTGCCAGGAAAACGAGTATGTTTTCCTGGCACTATAGTGGTCCTTTAAAGCGACACTGTAGGCACCCAGACCACCTCAGGTAATTGTAGTGGTCTAGGTGCTGTGCAGGGCCGGTGCAAGGATTTTTGGCTACACAGGCGAAGATGTTTCTTACACCCCCTTTAGTGTGTCTCTTACAACCCCTCTTGTTTATTTCTTACTTCCCCACCAGCCACATTCTATGTCTATTTATAAATATATATATATATAACCCATAATAAGTGTATTTTTATATAGATAGTTATATATATCAATATTAAAATACATAATTCACAGTAATTGTATTTAATTGTATATTCTATGTGTATATTTATGTCATATTTTAACATAATTAAGTCATTTTATTAATTATAATTGGAGGGACCAGCGTGACAACCCATGCAGCAAGTTTATCCCTGTAACTTTCCAAAATACCATAAAACCTGTGCATGAGGGGTACTGTTGTACTTGTGAGACATTACTCTACAAAAATATTAGTCTTTTAGAGCAGTGAAATGTATAATACTGATGATATCAGTGGTGAAAGTGCAGTTTATTTGTGAAAAATGCAAACAAAACTAATATATATGCTAACTTTGGCCAGGGTTTGTGACTAAGTGGCTAATAAAAAAGACTGGACATACCCCATTTTGAATACCCTGGGTTGATTTTCATTTCTGGGCTTCCATGGTCTCAAAGGCAACATAGGCCCAGCAAACCAATCTGGTAAATTTCTATGGAAACGGGACCTATATTTGACCCCTATAAGTTTCCAAAAACTCATAAAACTTGTACATAGGGGGTACTGTGGTACTCGTGAGAAATGTTTGAGTACAAATATGTGTATTTTATTGCAGTAAAATCTAACAGTATAATGACATTCACAGTTAAAATGTGATGCAGAACTTGAAAAATAACACATTTCCTTAATTTCTCACACTTTTTTAGATTGTGTTCACATTCAATTATGTTTCATACATGGATATGTGGTATGAAATGAAAGCCCTGATTCCCCTGAACAAAATTATATATAATAAGGGTGCACTTAAAATGAAAGAGGTGAATTGTGGTTGAACAACATATAGCACAAATTCCAGGTTTTGTTTTCGTTTTGTTTTGATCGCAACTTGTACAATTGGCTCCATCCTTAACCTCTTAACGACGCTCAACGGAAATTTTCCATCAAGGCAGACCTACCCTTAAGGACGCTGGATGGAAAATTTCCATCAATTACCGTCCCTGACAGACACAAACTATTTTAACATTACAAAACCCTTTTACCCGTGAAAATTTACATGAGATTAACCCTTTAATCACTGACAGCAGTGATCACAATACTGATCACAGTACTTTACTGTGATCAGAGTTTTCTTTTAATCCTCAGGGGTTAACTTTATTTTTTTTAACCCTCAGGGGTTAAATATATTTAATTTATTATTTCTATACTTGTATTTTCAGTTATTTAGTTAGCTGGGGTGGGTAGAAGCTGGGAGAAATTGTGGAATCTAGCATTAGGGAGGCTAGGAAGCTTAAAAGTTCTTAAAAGTTTATAAAAGTATAAAAAAAGTGAAAAAAAGGAAAATGATTTTAAGTCAAAACTAGGTGTAAGCACTGTGTTTAGCGGTGATCTGATTTCTGTTTTTACCCACAGGGGTTCATTTTTATTAAAAGTTTTTGAAGTTTTAGAAAGTTTTTAAGAGTTTTAAAAAAGTGAAAAAAGTATTAAAAAAGTTCCAAAAAAAAAAAAACAAGAAAACTAAAAAAAGAATATATTATTTAGTGAAAGTTAATTTTAAGCTTTCACCATGCTTAGAAGGTTTAGTGCCGAGGAGGCATATAATATATTAGCGGCCGACTCAGAGGCAATCGACACTGCCTCAGAGAGTGCAGCGGGTGACTGTGCCAGACACAGATGAAAAAAGTGACGATAGCCCTGGCACTGCTCCTGGTGCTGATAACTGGGTGCCCCCTAACAATTTTGTCCCCAATATCCCTGTGTTTACTGCGATTCCTGGTATTCAGGCAGACGTGACTAGCTATAGCTCCCAGGATTTTATGGAGCTGTTCCTTGGGGATGATTTTTTAGGGCAGACTGTTACACAGACAAATCTTTATGCAGCGCAGTATCCGGCAAAAAAGGGAGCTGGTACCCCACCAGTGTGCCAGAAGTAAAACGGTTCTGGGCACTAACCATGCTAATGGGCATTATAAAAAAGCCCAGCATTCGAATGTCCAAAAACCCAGTATGCAATAATCCCATTTTCTGTCAGACCATGAGTAGGCCCAGATATGAATCAATACTGCGTTTTCTGCACTTCAATGATAATTCGAAGTGCCACCCCAGAGATCATCCACAGTATGATAAACTTTATAAAATCCGCCCCCTAATTAACAATTTTAATAAAGAATTTGGCATAATTTATACTCCCCAAAAGAATATATGTATTTACGAGTCCCTTATGAAGTACAAGGGTAGACTGGGGTTCAAGCAATACATCCCAGCCAAAAGATCCCGGTATGGCATCAAGCTATACAAGTTATGTGAAAGTAGCAGTGGGTATGTTTATACCTTCAGAGTATATGAAGGTAAAGACAGCCACCGGGATCCCCCAGTCTGCCCTGATGTAGTTGGGAATAGCGGAAAAATAGTTTGGGATCTAATGAACCCGCTACTGAACAAGGGGTACCACCTCTACATTGATAACAATTATAATAGCTTACCCCTCCAAAAATGCTATTTTGTTTTGAGACTGTGGTATGCGTAACTATCCGCCAGACACGCACTAGCTTCTCAAAGGCTCTGGCAGAGAAAAAAGTTAAAAAGTGGGAAACGGCTGCTCTCTGCCAGGATGAACTGCTGGCTCTGAAATACAGAGACCAAAAGGAGGTGTTCATACTGACTACCATGCACAGTTGCAGGGTCGCAGTCCGTGGCAGACAGGAAACAAGACGGCTGCCTGTCTGCATTAAGCAATACAATAAACACATGGGGGGAGTTGACCTGTCTGATCAACTGCTGCAGCCATTTCTGATAATGAGAAAGACCGGGGCATGATATAAGAAAGTGGGGATTTATTTAATGCAAATGGCTACTCACAATGCATTCATCCTTTTCAAAAAGACAAATCCCCAGCTGATTTCTTATATTTCAGTTTCAGCTAATTTATATGCTGCTCACTATGTGCCACAGTGCAGCACATAGTGCAGTAGGGCCTAGCAGCAGAGATTTTCAGACAGGTCACTTCTGTTTTCGGATACCCCCACCCCTCCAAAAAAGACCCCCCAGAAAAGGTGCAGGCTGTGTTACCAGAGGGGCATTCGAACAAAGACCAGTTTCTACTGCCCTGATTGTCCCTCTCAGCCTGGACTTTGTATTGGGAACTGTTTTAAATTATTTCATACTCAGGG